ATGGGGATGGTGTACAGTGGGATGGTGTACAGTGGGATGGGGATGGTGTACAGTGGGATGGTGTACAGTGGGATGGTGTACAGTGGGATGGTGTACGGTGGGATGGGGATGGTGTACAGTGGGATGGTGTACAGTGGGATGGTGTACAGTGGGATGGGGATGGTGTACAGTGGGATGGGGATGGTGTACAGTGGGATGGGGATGGTGTACAGTGGGATGGGGATGGTGTACAGTGGGATGGTGTACAGTGGGATGGTGTACAGTGGGATGGTGTACAGTGGGATGGTGTACAGTGGGATGGTGTACAGTGGGATGGTGTACAGTGGGATGGTGTACAGTGGGATGGTGTACAGTGGGATGGTGTACAGTGGGATGGGGATGGTGTACAGTGGGATGGTGTACAGTGGGATGGTGTACAGTGGGATGGGGATGGTGTACAGTGGGATGGTGTACAGTGGGATGGGGATGGTGTACAGTGGGATGGGGATGGTGTACAGTGGGATGGTGTACAGTGGGATGGTGTACAGTGGGATGGGGATGGTGTACAGTGGGATGGGGATGGTGTACAGTGGGATGGTGTACAGTGGGATGGGGATGGTGTACAGTGGGATGGTGTACAGTGGGATGGTGTACAGTGGGATGGTGTACAGTGGGATGGGGATGGTGTACAGTGGGATGGTGTACAGTGGGATGGTGTACAGTGGGATGGTGTACAGTGGGATGGTGTACAGTGGGATGGTGTACAGTGGGATGGGGATGGTGTACAGTGGGATGGTGTACAGTGGGATGGTGTACAGTGGGATGGTGTACAGTGGGATGGTGTACAGTGGGATGGTGTACAGTGGGATGGGGATGGTGTACAGTGGGATGGGGATGGTGTACAGTGGGATGGTGTACAGTGGGATGGTGTACAGTGGGATGGTGTACAGTGGGGATGGTGTACAGTGGGGATGGTGTCCAGTGGGATGGTGTACAGTGGGATGGGGATGGTGTACAGTGGGATGGGGATGGTGTACAGTGGGGATGGTGTACAGTGGGGATGGTGTACAGTGGGATGGTGTACAGTGGGGTGGGGATGGTGTACAGTGGGATGGGGATGGTGTACAGTGGGGATGGTGTACAGTGGGGATGGTGTACAGTGGGGATGGTGTACAGTGGGATGGTGTACAGTGGGATGGTGTACAGTGGGATGGTGTACAGTGGGGTGGGGATGGTGTACAGTGGGATGGTGTACAGTGGGATGGGGATGGTGTACAGTGGGATGGTGTACAGTGGGATGGTGTACAGTGGGATGGGGATGGTGTACAGTGGGGATGGTGTACAGTGGGATGGTGTACAGTGGGATGGTGTACAGTGGGGTGGGGATGGTGTACAGTGGGATGGTGTACAGTGGGATGGTGTACAGTGGGATGGGGATGGTGTACAGTGGGATGGGGATGGTGTACAGTGGGATGGGGATGGTGTACAGTGGGATGGTGTACAGTGGGGATGGGGATGGTGTACAGTGGGATGGTGTACAGTGTAGTGGGGATGGTGTACAGTGGGATGGTGTACAGTGGGATGGTGTACAGTGGGATGGGGATGGTGTACAGTGGGATGGTGTACAGTGGGATGGGGATTGTGTACAGTGGGGATGGTGTACAGTGGGGTGGGGATGGTGTACAGTGGAATGGGGATGGTGTACAGTGGGATGGGGATGGTGTACAGTGGGATGGGGATGGTGTACAGTGGGATGGTGTACAGTGGGATGGTGTACAGTGGGGATGGTGTACAGTGGGGTGGGGATGGTGTACAGTGGGATGGGGATGGTGTACAGTGGGGTGGGGATGGTGTACAGTGGGATGGTGTACAGTGGGATGGTGTACAGTGGGGTGGGGATGGTGTACAGTGGGATGGTGTACAGTGGGGTGGGGATGGTGTACAGTGGGATGGTGTACAGTGGGATGGTGTACAGTGGGATGGTGTACAGTGGGATGGTGTACAGTGGGGATGGTGTACAGTGGGGTGGGGATGGTGTACAGTGGAATGGGGATGGTGTACAGTGGGATGGGGATGGTGTACAGTGGGGTGGGGATGGTGTACAGTGGGATGGTGTACAGTGGGATGGTGTACAGTGGGGTGGGGATGGTGTACAGTGGGATGGTGTACAGTGGGGTGGGGATGGTGTACAGTGGGATGGTGTACAGTGGGATGGTGTACAGTGGGATGGTGTACAGTGGGATGGTGTACAGTGGGATGGGGATGGTGTACAGTGGGATGGTGTACAGTGGGATGGTGTACAGTGGGATGGTGTACAGTGGGATGGTGTACAGTGGGATGGGGATGGTGTACAGTGGGATGGTGTACAGTGGGATGGTGTACAGTGGGATGGTGTACAGTGGGATGGTGTACAGTGGGATGGGGATGGTGTACAGTGGGATGGTGTACAGTGGGATGGTGTACAGTGGGATGGGGATGGTGTACAGTGGGATGGTGTACAGTGGGATGGTGTACAGTGGGATGGGGATGGTGTACAGTGGGAATGGTGTACAGTGGGATGGTGTACAGTGGGATGGTGTACAGTGGGATGGTGTACAGTGGGATGGTGTACAGTGGGGATGTGTACAGTGGGATGGTGTACAGTGGGATGGTGTACAGTGGGATGGTGTACAGTGGGATGGGGATGGTGTACAGTGGGATGGTGTACAGTGGGATGGTGTACAGTGGGATGGTGTACAGTGGGATGGTGTACAGTGAGATGGGGATGGTGTACAGTGGGATGGTGTACAGTGGGATGGTGTACAGTGGGATGGTGTACAGTGGGATGGTGTACAGTGGGATGGTGTACAGTGGGATGGTGTACAGTGGGATGGTGTACAGTGGGATGGGGATGGTGTACAGTGGGATGGGGATGGTGTACAGTGGGATGGTGTACAGTGGGATGGGGATGGTGTACAGTGGGATGGGGATGGTGTACAGTGGGGATGGTGTACAGTGGGGATGGTGTACAGTGGGGTGGGGATGGTACAGTGGGGTGGGCGTGGTGTACCATGGAACTAGATGGAGCCATCCTGCCTTTTCCTATGCTCCCTGTTTAGTTTTCTGCTGGGACTGTCACACTAAGCTGTGCAGCTCTTGGGAAACCTCTGTCAGGACATATTTTGGACTTGAATGTGCATTCTGAGAAAATCAGTATTTGCTCTGGTCACTGGACACAGATCAGCTTCAGAGAACCAGTCTGTGTGGGTCCCGGCCCTACAGAAAATGTGTGAGGTGCTCACGTAGTGTGTGTGTGGTGGCTGAGCTCCCCAAGAAGCAGCCCTGTGGAGTGCCAGCTGCTCTGACCATGCCACGCTGCTGAACAGCGTTCCAGAAGAGCAGGTTGGAACGCCTGTGATGTGTCCTGACCCAGGCCCTTTCCTCTAGACCTCAGGAGTACAGTGAGTAGTGCACAGACAGTGTGTGTGTGTGTGGGGGGGGTAGGGGTCAAAGAAAAATTAAGATCATACAAGTTCTGATCTCACGATATCATTTCTTCTGACATAAATGTCTGTAATGGGGTCAGTGTATGGCTCTTATGTCTTCCCCTTGTCTCTTCTAACCCAAATACTGGCTGGCTTTGAACACTCTTGCCCAATATTGAATCTGGGTGCCATGCTGATCTGAGGAAGGTGTCTTAGGAGACTGTAGTCACATCACAGGCTTGGCTCCTATCCCTCCGGGTCACTTTCCTCTAGACTTGTAGTGTGTGTCCACACTGGGCCTCCTCTGAGGCCCTCTGTATTCTGGCTTACACACCATGTGTGTGCTCTTCTGGGTTGTAGGCTCAGTGGCAGCTCTCAGTACACCTGTGGACTGGGTGTGATCAGGAAGTTTAAGTGGCCACGCTGCTTCCAGCCCCTCACTCCCCCTCCTCCCCTCCCTGCTAGGAAGGGCACTTCAGTGACTGACCTCAAGCTCGAGCCTGCTCACGTGTCCCCAAGAATCTGTCCTGTGGCCTGACCACAGGCAGACCATCCTGAGTGGCCTGTCCTGAATGCCAGGCAGCAGGTGCCCAGAACAGGTGATGGAGCCCGGTGTGAACATGGGACTAGCAACGTTAACTCAGTGATGCCGTGTGGAAAGTCACCTTAGTCAGCTCTGCTACAGAGCCTGAGGCCTCTTGACAGCATAGCCCAGGAGGGCTCCTGTCCTGCCTCCCTCAGTGGGTGGTCTGGCCTTGGCTCTGACCTGGGTCATTCTCATCTAGGGAAGCTCCATGTGCCCAGAGGCAACACGGGTAACGACTCTAGAGCTCCACCTACACTGGCCTGTGGTCCTCCTCTCCACCCTGGGCTGCTTCATCGAGTGGACAGGAGTGACAGATGGGGTCTTTCTAGACACCTCTCCTTCTCTTTATTGAGTTGTAGTGTTTTCCTGTATTGGGATCACCAGTGAATGAACTGCCAGAGGGCACGTGCTTATATACTCAGTTTGGATGTTTGGCTTAATGTTTCCACTGAGAAGTGACCTGCACACAGAAAAGTGCACAAGCCACGAGCTGTGGACTCCAAAGTGGAGCAGACAACATCAGGAGGGTGATGGGGCCAGCTGAAGCCTCTTCTTGGACTTCACTCAGGGTCTTTTGCTTTGTGGTACACTTGTAAATGCCTCGCTGCTGTATACTCAGCATGGAACTTTCTGCTCTGTGTTGTATGTGCACCTTAGGTAATAGCTTCTCTGGTTCATTCTCATGGTCAGAGTTTATTATTCAAGTCAGTGTGTGTGTGTGTGTGTGTGTGTGTGTGTGTGTGTGTGTGTGTGTGTGTGTGTGTACGTGCATGTGCAGCCCTATGAGGCTGAGATGTGTTCTTTTCACTGCTATGTCTGATGTCTAGAAAGCCTTGGCTAGGCTTCAGGTGCAGTGCATGTCATTGACTGGACAAGTATGAAAAAATAGAGCCAGTGTAGGTACCTGTGGCCTCCTGTGGAGCAGGCATAGAAAGGCAAGAGGTGCAGGTGTGTCTGTGCTGATCCTGCAGAGTTGACGGGAGCTGACCTGAAGGACTGCATCAGTAACAACAGCCTGAGCAGCAATGCTAGCCTCCCCAGTGTGCAGAGCTGCCGGCGCCTGCGCGAGAGGAGGGTCGCGAGCTGGGCTGTGTCGTTTGAGCGTCTGCTGCAGGATCCCATTGGTGTTCGCTACTTCTCTGTGAGTAAGGGAGACTGCTGCGGGGGAGGGTGTCGGCACTTTGTGCCAAGGGTGCTTGAGCTCGCTGGGTCATCGCAGACATCGGAGACTGTGCATCACCTTGTAGGGGTGTGACCATCTCAGCATCTGCTCCAAGCTCAAGACTCAGAGTAGGGTGTCCATTTGTAGAGACCCTCAGTTCAGTCTTCCTTCCTTGGAGTTTCCTGAAGGTCCTCCTCCCTCCCCCCCCCTCTCTCTCTCTGGGATATCTGTGCATCAGGGAACATCAGAGTTTCTTGGCTTTGTTTGTTTTGAGACAGGGTCTCACTATGTTACTCAGGCTGGCTTGGAACTCATAATCCTGCCTCACCGTTCTGAGTGCTAGGATTATAGGTGTGCGTCATCATCCTAGCTGGAGCTTCTTCAACATTCTTGGAAGTGCACTCTGACAAATACAGCTCTTGAGGACCCAGGAGTGGGGGAGGAGCAACAAGAGAGGGGAATGGGATGAATCCGAGCAACACGGGTAGGACAGTGCCATAATGACACAATGTCGGATTTTGTATGTGAACTAGAAACTAAAATTCTTTTCTTAAGGAATAAGGATGAGCAGCTCTTGAGAAAAGAGCAGTGAGGCAGACAGCACCCCTCAGGGATGTTGGGCATCCTCTACGCTTGCTTTCAAGGCCCTCTTGAGAGGTGGCTATTCTGCTGTGTTGTAGACAGAGAAGGCCAGGATGGGGGTGTGGGGGTCAGCGGCGTGGAGGAGCTGTGGAGTGACGACTGCTGTCTTTGCTGCGTCCCCTCAGGATTTTCTACGGAAGGAATTCAGTGAAGAGAACATTTTATTCTGGCAGGCCTGTGAATGCTTCAGTCATGTCCCTGCACACGACAAAAAAGAGGTAAATTGCTCTTCAGCATAGGGGGCTGTGTGAGGGTCAGGTGCACAGGGCTGCGTCAAGTGTGGCTTTGAGCAGTTGACGAGGGATGCTTCTGTGACTTAAAAAAAAATGACATTTCTGCTTCCGAATAAAAACTTAAGTGTGTGACATTTAATCCTGCCTAAACATAGTCTGCATAAATGTCCCGTCACAGAGCCTGGCAGAGGTGGTACTTGGTGTTGGGATTGGGAGGAAGGAACAGTACTGGAGGGGACTTGGAGAAGTACCCTCTCCCTGCCAGCTTGGCAGCTCCTTTCAAGCTGCCCAGCACTACCCCGGCCATGTCTTTGGCATTTCCCCAAGGTAACAGTTGTCCTCACAGAGTGGCCTCATGCCTCTTTCTTGTGCTCTGAGCACTGTGAACTCCTGTCCTCCCCTGTGGCTCATAGCTTGCTGGTGGATCCTACCCGGAGGCCTATTCCAGGTAGTGCCTCTCAGTTGTTGAGGCCCTTACAAAGCAGCCATTCAGGAACTTGCAGAGAAGCCGATTCGGGAGTGTTTTCCTGGCTCATTCTTTTTTATTTCCCTTTGTAAGCCAGGATATAGACTGGGCCTGTGGATCAGTTCTCCAGCCTTAGGAATGCCGCAGTGACCCAGGTGGGAAATGCATGTCCAGTGGGGGTGTGTCCACAGATCTGCTCAGACCTTTCTACCTGTCAGCTCTCTTACAGGGCCCGGGAGATTTTCAGTAAATTCCTGTGCAGCAAAGCCACCACTCCTGTAAACATTGACAGCCAGGCCCAGCTGGCAGATGACATTCTCAGTGCACCCCACCCTGACATGTTCAAGGAACAGCAGCTCCAGGTGACTCTGTAGGGCTGGGGTGCAGGACTCTGTCAGAGCAGCATGCTTTCAGCTGGGGAGGAGGGCTGCTGGTAATGCGGGCATGGTGAGGAATCCATCTGGCCACTGGCCTCCAGTCTCAAAAGGGTTCGTAGAGCTGAGGAATAAGAAGCCTGTGCCGTAGACTTGTACCCACTGTGAACCAAAGTAAAGGATTATTATCTATCAGAAGCCATCACTGGGGCTGTGAGATGCTCAGCAGGTAAAGGCCCTTGTCACCAAGCCTGATGACCTGAGTTTGGTCCTTGGAACCCACATGGTGGAAGGAGAGAACCAACTTCTACTAACTGTACTCTGACCTCCACACATGGACCATAACGGGTGTGCATCTCTCTCTCTCTCTCTCTCTCTCTCTCTCTCTCTCTCTCTCTCTTTCTCTCTCTCTCTCTTTTTCTCTCTCTCCCTGTCTTTCAATAAATAAATACATATTAAAAAAGTTTTTTAAGTGCATTGGACCCACCTGACCTGCAGCACATGACAGCTACAGCTTTTCCGCACAGCATATTATGAAAGGTTAGTGGTCTCATGATTGCGTGGCTGACCTGGAGCCAGAGTTCAGTGTCACTTGTAGCATCCAAGAGAGGATGGTACTGCATTGTACCAGCCCAGAGAAAGATCCAGATCAAAACTTTAAGCACTATTTCTGTGAACACACATTGCTGCCACACCAGTGGGCCTGTTTATATGCTTGTGATCTGGGTTCAGTAGTGTTAGCAATTGTTGTCTGGTCTCACTGTGTAGCTCACCAAGGCTGACCTGAAGCTCACCATGCACATGGCACCCTGCCTGTGTGTTCCTGTCTTAATTTTGGAAGAACACGTGCTCTGACCCAGTGATGCCCGTCCAGAGCACACTCCCCATCCTGACAGCTCTTCTGTCACTAGGTTGCAGGAATTAGCTTAAAGCAAAGGTCTTCCCCAGGCAGCACTCAACTCTCGAGACCACTGCCTTCCAAGTCGTTAGGAAACGGAGGCCTGAGTCTGCCCATGCTTCTGGCTGTACATAACTCCTATGACTCTGCTCCTACCAGGGTGGCAAAGGAGAGAGGTTGTTGAGAGAAAGAGCCAAAGGATCCCTGGAAAGTTAACCTCAGAATGCCCTGGGAGGATTGGCTGAAGTGACACCCTTCCAAAATAACATTCGTTCCTGGGAACAGATCTCCTGCACCACCTAGGGCCTGTAACTTTACTGCATGGCATTTGCTCCACAGATTTTCAACCTGATGAAGTTTGATAGCTACACTCGCTTTCTGAAATCCCAGCTATACCAAGAATGCGTCCTGGCAGAGGTGGAAGGCCGCACCCTCCCTGACTCCCAACAGGTCCCCAGCAGCCCCGCCTCCAAACACAGCATCAACTCCGATCACTCCAATGTGTCCACACCAAAAAAGGTGCTGGGCCAGCCCTTGTGGGGGTGAGAGAGAGGCTGCTGCGCCTCATCCCTTCACCAGCTAGGGGTGGGGCCATGGAGGACACTGGTACCCTCCAGCCCTTTCCTGGTCCCCTAACGCCTGGGACCAGAGGGTCAGGACTGTGTCCTTAATCCATTGAAGGATTAGATAATTCCTCAGAATCCTTACTCATAGAGCTCTGTGTCCAGCCCCTTTGGTGTTTCATGTAATGTTAAAGTAACTTCAGTGTCTTAACTGTTGTTTCTATTTGCTAGCAGTTAAGTGGAAAATCGAAATCAGGACGATCCCTGAATGAGGATGTGGGGGATGAGGACAGCGAGAAAAAACGCAAAGGGGCCTTTTTCTCTTGGTCAAGGAACAGGAGCACGGGGCGGTCCCAGAAGAAGAAGGACCATGGTGAGCATGCCCATGGTATGTGGACATAGACCATGCTGTTATGAGCAGGAGCTCAGCTGCCATGGTGATGTGAGCGACCTTGGTAGGCAGGCAGAGGATAGCAAGAGTTGTCTGGAGGAATGAGAAAATGTCACAGAGCCTGACTGTACAGCAGACCTAGGGATGAGCAAGCCTACTAAGCAGGCCTGCTCCAGAACCTTCTGGAGACTCCTTAATGCTGGGTGTTTGGCTGACTGGAGTCCTTTCCTACCTGCTATGAAAGTAACAGGTACTTCAGTAGAAAACTTGGAAAACAGAATCAAGTAAAGAGAAACATATGAAAACATGCTATCCCTTGTGACCAGGTACAGCTTGTTGCCTGTGCCAATGAATGTGCACCCGCCATTGTGTTGGTGGCTGGGTATTGGGAGATGGGGAGTGTCCCATTCAGGCCTCCCATACCTAGCAGGCTTGTAGAGGATTTCAACAGAGCTCAGACACTCACTCGGTCTGGCACAGGGTCTGTGGATGCCTGAGAGACTACTTGTTCAGGGCAGGTCACTGGATCCAGGAGCCTGAGTGTCAGTCCGACTTGACATGTGTTTAGGCCCTTCATGGGGTGTAGGCCAGCTTAGACTATAGTTAGAACAAGCTAGAGAGTTGAACTAGCGGCTCTGAATGGGGTTTATGAGGAAGAAGATGGGAAATGAGTCACCAGTAGAATGAGCAGCCAGCTGGTCACAGGGACAGTCTTCTTCAGACCCAAAATAGCACTTGGAGATAGAAATCATGGCTCAATTAAAGACAGGTCCACACAGGGACATGAGACTGGGCTGCACAGCATTGCTCCCTGCGATCTGGTGCCTGGCAATGCCTTGAGTCCTACAGGGCCCCCACAATGGTGACCTCCTTGGCCCTGACCTTGGCCTCTGCTGTGAGGGAGCTGTTTGACTAAACCCAATGGCCCAAGGTGGCACCTGGAAGGACCTCTGATGTTTTGCTGTCTCTCTGTCTTTATTATATGTGTCTCTTCAGTCTGAGGGGTGAGGTAGGGGTTCTGTGCTAAGTTGAGGGCGAGTAAAGCTGTGGCTTCTGATTTACCCCGTTCTTTCCCTTCTTTCAAGATGTCCTTCATGCCAACGGAGGCCTCTGCCGCCGGGAGTCCCAGGGCTCTGTGTCTTCTGCAGGGAGCCTGGACCTGGTGAGTGGCCACCTCCTCTCCTTCCAAGGGTCACAGGCTAAACCTACCAGCTGGTAGATGAAGTCTGGCTCATAAAAACCCAGCATTTGTTTCATAAACACGGTACCAGGATTGGACACTGGCCTGGGTCCCCTAGGCCTCAGGGTCCCTAGCCCAGGATTCCTAGGGCATTTTGAGAAGCTGTTTAGTAGGTGGGGATGGTTACTGTGTAAGGACTAAAATTAGCCTTGAGTTTATTTCTTAAATTCCTTTGTTGTGATGTGGTTAATATTTCTTGAACTTCCACTGAGAGCACCAGCATGCTTTGAAGCATGGTTCTGTCTTCGGCTTGAGCTCAGACCTCCTGTTGACTCTACATTCCAGTGTTTGGGTTGGCCTGTGGGGTCCTAGGAGCTGGCCTCCTGCCACTTAAGAGCTAGGCCTGGCTCTGCAGCTCTCTTCAGGGCACCCTGCTTGCCCTGCTCTTTGCTAATGTGCTGTGAGGGGAGCTGGGTAGGGTTCAGGACCTGCTACTCCCTCAACTCTTGTCTGATAAGAATTTTGGGAAACCCTGTTGGTCGTCAGCATCGTGACATTTGTAACTATCCATCAAGATGGCTGATGGTTGGTGGTAGAAGGTTTTTTCTTCTTCCATTATTCCAGATACCCTGTCAAGACCACTGTGAGTCAGTTACCTATTACCACCAATACCAATACCCCAGCTTAATGTTGGGGAACACGAAGTGCCTGTGCCTAAGTGTCAGCTGGATGATGGTCCTGTGCTTGGGGGGCCTCATCTATGCCTCCAATTCCCTGGCCTCACGGCTCAGCAGATGACTATGTATGTGGCTGTGGGCCAGAGCAGTGGGGACAGCTGGACCATGTTTTTGTCGCCATCCAGTGGCCAGCCCAGGTTCCTCCCCATGGAGAATGGCTTTGCCATTTCTGACAGGTCCTTCCTGGGCAGGTTCCAAGGCCAGGGATGAAACAGCTACTTCATGGGAGGAGCCACACAGATTTAGGAGAAAAAGTCTGGGCCGTTTCTGCAGCCGGTCCTCACCCTCCCAGCCAATTTTCTGAAATAACAGACTTTTCAGGCATTGGGAAGCAGTAGCGATAATATGATAGCTATGAAAGCAGGTTTCACAGCAGGCCTGGAGGGGATTAGGACAGCCTGCAGGCCTGTTGGCAGCTCATTATCACAACCTCAGTTCCCAAGGTGAGGTGGGTCTATGTACAGCAGTATGAAGGGCAGTCTCCTCTGGCAGGACAGCAGCCATGCTTCAGTTACAAGCCATATAGTTCCTATAGTTGAGAGAGATCATTGTCCACCCTGGCCCTGGCCTCCAAACCCTACCACACCACCAGCTTTGGGCTCAGAGAATGCCCTGTGGTGGATTCTGAGTTTCTGTGTGTGTGGAACTGCATGGGGGACAGGCAGGTTATTAGGCACTTTAGACCAGGCAGGCTGACTCTTCCTCAGGAGTTACTCCCTTCCCTCCTGATACTGACACTTGTCCCCCCACCCTCCAGTCAGAGGCCTGCAGGACCTCAGCACTGGACAAAGATAAGGCTGCCAAACACTGCTGTGTCCACCTGCCAGATGGGACGTCCTGTGTGGTTGCTGTAAAGTCCGGGTTTTCCATCAAAGAGATCCTGTCTGGATTGTGTGAGCGGCACGGCATCAATGGGGCTGCTGTGGACCTCTTCCTGGTGGGCGGAGACAAGGTACTGTGCCAGGCAGGAGTGAACCAACTGGCAGTGTCCTGGTCCTGTCTGCTCCCTTCCTTCTGGCCTGGTTAGTGCCCGCTCCTGCCACCGCCACCACTACCCCCTGTCTGTGGAGCCGTGCAGCCGGAAGTGGAGGCCCCAGGGGGTCGGTGGGTGCAGGGCAGCACAACCTGGTGTCTGGAGGGTGTCGGGCTAATTTTGAAACTGCTCTTTTGTTCTTGCAGCTGTGTGCTGTTACATGTCAAGCCCGCATGCTCCCACGTTAACTCTGGTGTCTTTGTTCCTCAGCCTCTGGTGCTGCATCAGGACAGCAGCATCCTGGCCACCAGGGACCTGCGCTTGGAAAAGCGTACTTTGTTTCGGTAAGAGAACAGCATACAGGTTTCTGGAGACTTTCCAGTACCTCCATACTTTGAGCCTCAGGACTTCTATTCCATGCTAATCTCTGTTTTTTACCCATGAGCATGTACTTGTCCCACACAGGCCATAAAAGAATGCCAGTGCCCCACCAGACCCTTGGCAAGGGGGCAGGCACCACACACAGGCTGCTTGGCCCTAAAATCATAGTGGAGAAAGAGGGAAAGTGGGTGCTGGTGATAGCCTCACTGCTCAGTCCTCCATCATGAGGGTTGAGGACCACATCCCTGAGCCCTGTGTTCAATCTCAGAAGGGCCTCATGGACTTGCTTCCACATGCAGGGAGCGCTCCTTACAAGGTGGGGCTGAATTCCCGGGGTCCCCAAGCAGTGGAATCCTGTTCTGTTGAGGGGACCCTTGAGATGTGGTGAAGCCAGAACTGGACATTTCGTGAGAATGTTTCTTGCCTCCTTCCAGGCTGGATCTCGTTCCAATTAACCGATCAGTGGGACTCAAGGCCAAGCCCACCAAGCCTGTCACAGAAGTGTTGCGGCCGGTGGTGGCCAAGTATGGCCTGGACCTGGGTAGCCTTCTGGTGAGGCTGGTGAGTGTCATTTGGAGTCTGAGCACTGCCACCAGGGTTGCGCCCCACCTCGCCCTATATTATCTGCAGTATGTCTCATCTCATGTCACTGTCCTCCCTAAGTTAAAGGACAGTCCCTATTGTGCCCATCTCCTCTGTTACCTTTTATTTACACATTGTTTATTATGGCAAGGGTTGATATTGGCTTCAGGTGAACCGAATCGAAGCAATAAACACCTTGAAACATGGCCACCATTTTCAAGTGTGACAAGCACCTGATGGTACAGCCAGTTCCCCCTGGATGTGCAGTTTGCCAGGGCACAGGTACCCTGTCCCCTGCACTGACTGGCAGTTTCCTGTGCATGTGCACACTGGGCTGCTCCCTCCCTGTTGTGAGAGGGGGTTTGTTATGGGGGTGAGTTGAGGAAAAAGACAGCAAGCCCTTCCTGGCCTTTTCCTGCCTCCATGGGTGTTTATGGACCAGCAGCTAGGATGGCTCTGGCCTTGAGGCTGTGTTGACTCACAGCGGCCTGGGGTATAGCATCCGCCAAGCCTTCCCCATCAACTTTATCCAAGCTCTGATTTCCAGGGTTTTTTGTTCTGTTTTGATATTTTTGTGACAGGGTTTCCTGTAGCCCAGGCTAGCCTTGAACTCCTTATCCTCTGCCTATATCTCCCAAGTACTGGGATTACAGGCATGCATCATTGTACGGGGCTGAGATTTCAAGCATTCTTCAATTTTTAATTTTCCCTGAAATTATCCTCAGAATTGTCTAAGAGCCTTGAAGTAAACAAGAGGAACCTACTTAATTATTCACAGGCTCAAGCTTCAGGTAACTTGATACCATTTCCCTACTGTGGGCTCACTCCAGAAATCTGCCTGCAGAGACCAGCCTGGCATCCAGGGTGCCCCCCCCCCCCCCGACTCCCCCGTTTCTAAAGCTGTGGTAGTCTCACAGGCAGAGAGAGCAACACTGACTAACCGAGGGGAAAAGCGTCCTGAGCCGAGTCAAGAGCACCTAGAGCTGCTAAGATTGCTCCCTGTACCTTACCTTCAGGGTCCCCCTCAGAGCAGTTTGGGGATCAGTGCAGGGGTTTTAGGTTGGCCATCATGGAGACTATGAGCAGTGTTGAGACAGAGTCAGATGAAGTTATTGAGTATTGACACATGCTATCAACCTTTTTTCTAGGGCTGAGGAGTTCCCAGTTTGCCCCTGTGTTATTCTGGGTTGTCCCTTTGAGTGAGCCTTGAAAGACCTGCTCTACCAGCTTCTCAGGGTTCCATATTCCCACAGGTCAGCCAGGCTGGGTGACCTGACCCCAGGGCCAGCTGGATTGAGGCTCCATTAAGCCTGGGTCAGTCTTACTGTCAGTGGCTGGGTTACAAGCAACTATTCCAGAAAGTTCCAATCTGGGTAAATGGTTCACTGCATCGTCTCTGCCTCTAGAGTGGGGAGAAGGAGCCCCTGGACCTTGGTGCCCCTATATCAAGTCTGGATGGACAGCGGGTCATCCTGGAGGAGAGGGATCCTTGCAGAGGGAAAGGTAAGGTTGCACCCTCAGCTGCCAGCTCCCCACCCTGCCGCTCAGTGGTCCAGTAGTTGTCTCATAACCACACCATGGACGGACTGATCTGTCCGTGTAACCCCTCACATGGCACTTTACCTCTCATGTGCTCACCCAGCCTTCTACAGGGGAAGGGACAGCAGGATTGGGGAAGGAGGACCTGACTCCTTGAGCATGTCTTCTCAGCTGTAGAAAGAGTGACAGACAGGGGCTGCTTATGTGGCAGAAAGTGCGAGAAGGTGCTCTTTCCTTTAGAGGCTTCTGTTGCTACAAAGCAGGGACCCAAGGCCCAAACAGCCCAGTTCTAGGTCTCCTGTTTTTAATGCAGTGTCCTGTTCTGAGATCTGTCCCTCCAGATGAAACAGGCAGTGAGGGCAGTGGTGGGCATGAGTCCTGGCCAGTGGGCACTGGCACTGTACTCAGCATTGGCCTGCTGCGTTGTTCCTCATATGTGGGGTCGAGTGGACCACACAACTCTTTCCCACCCAGTACCTCAACAGCCACAGTCCTGACCTGGTCAGTCAGTCCTCACGTGGGCCCCCATACTCCAAAGCCTCAGGGGCCTATACTATTTAGGGCACTAGCACAGGAAACCCATGGGAGAGGCACTTCATCTTATAGCCCATAGGACTGTCTGGGAGGGGAGAGAACTTTCTAGAAGCTGCCAAGGAGGGGTGATCTAGATGGAGGTTCCTTGTGTGGAGCTACTCCAGGTAACTTTAGGCTTTCCCCAGGACTTGTGCCCAAATGACTCCTGAGGGCTTTGTGTAAGCGGATCCTCCAGGGCCTGGGAAGGAGCATAGGTCTCTATCATATGGCAGCTTAGAAGATATGGGTTCTGTGGCCTGGGCTACAGCACTCTAGTCCCTATCTGTTTCTGCCTTACAAAATTTCCTCTTCCTTGGTCAACCTCCACTCTAGAAAATGCATGCTAGCCCTGGTGGTGGGTGAACTCTGGGCAGCTTCCATGGGGCAGGCAACTTGGTTTGCCTGGTGGGTTCTCAGCAGCCTCCTCCAAGGCTGGCAAGTCGGGTCTATGTGCAAGTGAGTTCTCAGGGGAGCTGCAGGCTTACAGGGGCTGTGGACTAGGATTCTGGTTAGCCAGACAGCAGTCCTCAGACTCAATGCAACCAAAGCCAGATACACCCTGACAGGGGAAAAGGCAGGGCTTAGTGTCAGATTCTAAAGGACCATGTGTAATACATGGTATATTGCATGAGTTTTTCCATCTCAGTGTCCCAGGAAATGTATAGCCCTTCCTTCATGCCCTGCTGCCTTCCCCCAGCTTTCTCAGGTGGGCAGAGGGAAGCTTAGGCTGGCCTGTGTGTGCATGTTAGATAAGGGATGGAGAGGGCCTTTGCTCTCACAGAACACGGCAAATTGTGTTTATTGTTCAGAGGGCACTGTGAGCTCTGGTCATAAGCTTGTCTCATGTGTTTAGTGTCCGCAGACAAACAGAAAGGTGCTCCTGTCAAACAAAGCTCAGCTGTGAATGCCAGCCCCAGAAACCACTCGGCTATGGTAATTCCCCTACGTCTGCCCACACTGTCCCTGCCCCTCTCCCGTGGCCTCCACCTCTTGGGGCTACTTGTGCCTGATGTCGCCCCTTTGGCTGACTGAGGCTCTGCTCAGGTTGTGCACCTCCCCCTGTGGGTGTTTCTCATGTCCCTTTGGGGTTCAGTCTCCACCTTGCTAGGAGCTGCCAGCTCCGGTTTTCTTTTGTCCTGGGTGGGTAGGTGGGCCCTCAGTGCTGTTATATTATCCATTATTGGGGTTGATTTGCCAAGGGTGTCTAGACTCGCTGTCGATGCCTGGGCCCCCAGGGCCTTTCCTGTACTGTTGAGTGATATGTTACCGTGTGCTGACATGCAGTAGAACTTGACTTTCCTTCTGATGCAGGGAGAGGAGAGAACACTAGGCAAGTCTCACTCTATTAAAATAAGAGGAGAAAATGGAAAAAGTGCTAGGGATCCCCGGCTTTCAAAGAGAGAAGAATCTATTGCAAAGATTGGGAAAAAAAAATATCAGAAAATTAATTTGGACGAAGCAGAGGGTATGTGTACTTTTTAAAACTTCCGTGTTTTTCAGTAAATGCACAGTATGGTCCTTAAACCTGCTCTGCCCTGTCTGTGGCCTGGTCCTTGTTGCAGAGGCTACTGATATAACTTCACTAAAGCCCCTGTTGTGAGGGGAAAGCCAGAGGCCCTGCCAGAGACCAACAGCCCTGACTGTGCTTTCAACCAGCTCCCCTCCCCCACCACCCAAACCCTGACATGAGCTGGGGCCCAGCTTGGGTGGGGGCAGGAGCCAGGTGTGAGGGAGGAGGGCAAAGTCCTAGGCCTGAGAGGGCTATGGGTTTGCTAAGTTATGTTGACCATGGAGGCTGGAGAAAGGCTTGTTCTGCCCTGACCAGGATTTCTGTAGGGTGCCCCTGGGACTTGGGGGCCATTGGGTGGGATGTGTCCCTTACTCTGGAACCTTTTCAGAATAGAACCATTAAATGTCTCCCTTGGGCATTCTGACCACTAAGCAAATGTAAAACACATACTCTTGGAGTGTGTGCATTTCTGAGAACCACCCACAGTGAAGATGTTGTACTCCTTATGGATTACAGACAGCCATTAGGATTCCAGAGACATTTTAGACCACTGTGGTGTGAATGGTGAACTTGAGTCACACTAAACATGGCCTCATGGCAAGAAAATGCTCTGGAGCAGTCAGTGAGGAAGCCAGGCAGGTGCCCAGCCCAGAGTGTCCATTCTGGCCCAAGGGCTGGGAGCTTCAGATGGGTCAGCCCCAGAGCACCACCTGAATTTGGGAGCCAAGTGGATCTCAGGGCTCTCCATTCTACCCAGCTAAGGCTTTCTCTCAGCCTTCCACAGGCTAGCCATCCATTCCTGACTTGGGTCTGCAGTGCAGCTGGGCCCTGGCTCTGTCATGCCCTACTCTGGCCATTGCCTATACCTCAAATTCATCTGTGCCCAGGTATAAAGGGCCCCACGTATGAGTACTAGCCACATGCCAGAGTACCAGCAGCATCCTAGTGAGTGCTTGCCAGCTTGTCACCTACTGAGTAGAGGGGGTGTTTTCAGGCCCAGGCCTGACAGTGTAATTTTCAGGGGGGCTGGCAGCCAGACATTGGCCTCGACTCTGAGAGAAAAGTAGTGCGGCTGACCTCATACCCCTGTTTGCTGCCACTGGCAGCTCAAGGAAGCAGAAGGCCCTGGTAAGAGTGAGTGGTCAGCTGAGGCATGCATCCATCTGTGAGTCTCTCAAATATGGTCACTGTGGGTTTTCTTCCAATAGAGTTTTTTGAGCTCATTTCCAAAGCTCAGAGCAACAGAGCCGATGACCAGCGTGGGCTACTAAGAAAGGAAGACCTGGTGCTGCCTGAGTTTCTTCGCTTACCTTCTGGTTCCTCAGAACTCGCCCTGTCCAGCCCAGCCCCAGTCAAGGGCTTTAGCAAGAGAGCTGTTTCAGGCCATGGCCAGGAGGGAGCGGCTCAGACTGAGGAGAGCTACAGTGACAGCCCAGCAACCAGCCCTGCCTCAGCCCAGAGCCCCAGCTCAGCCTACAGTCCTGGCTCCGCCCACATCCCCGGCTCCGCCCACAGCCCCGGCTCCGCCCACAGCCCCGGCTCCGCCCACAGCCCCGGCTCAGCTTACTGCCCCCCTGGGCCTCCTGGGACCACCCAATCTGGAGAGAAGCCTCCAAAGCCCTCCTGCATCCCCACTGTGCAGGAGGGTCCTACACAGGCCTGGAGGAGGCTATCGCCAGAAGTGGAGGCTGGGGGCATCCAGACTGTGGAGGATGAGCAGGTGGCTGACCTGACCCTGATGGGGGAGGGGGACATCAGCAGCCCCAACAGCACGCTGCTACCGCCACCCCCCCCCATACCCCAAGACACACCAGGACCTACAAGACCAGGTACCTCCAGGTTCTGACTCTCCAACCTTGATCTGTCCTGCTCACTGCCCACAGCCTGCTCCATTCCGTGTTTAATAAAGGGACCACTGAGGCAGGCAGCCACTCCTTTACTTCTGTGTGTTGAAACGTGCCGAGGGATGGCCTCCTCCTCTTGTATTTATGGGGCCTCTTTTGCCTTGTCTGAAAGGAAAGCAGGCGGCAGCCAAGGTTCAGTCTCCCTGGGAGGGCCACTGAGGCTCAGGCAGACACACCATATTGAGCTGTTCCTGCGAAGGTGCCATAGGAATGGTAACCCGTGTCCAGTGACACCTTGTGCAGCCTCAGGTCTGAGTGTGGCTCTTACCTTTAAAACCTCCTTGCTGCCATTTTAGGGTTTTAGTCTCAAGATGGAAAAACATAGTATTTGCCTTGAGCCAATCGGCAAGGGCCCCATGCAGACAGGGACCAGGGTTCTCAATGTCAGCCCCTCTGTGGCCAGCCAGGACTTCCTGACTGCCCTCCACTGCTGCTCTGCTGCTCCCTGGCTGGCCTCCAGTGTGTCCAGGCATTTCCAGTGTGTGTGGAGGGGAGCAGCGTGACCCAGGGGTAGGGACGCTACTCTAGGCCCACCCCAAACACTCCAGATGCCACACAGTGGAGATGGGACTCCAGCAGCCACTGTGCTCGGTTCCCCACAATGACAGTGATGAGCCTTTCAGTGCATGTTTCCTGTTGTTCCTGTCTAAAGCCTGGCTGTGATCTGTGGCAGGCAGTGTGGGTGCCCATCCAGGCCTTTCTTCCTGGGCCGGGTCTTTTCTGGTTTCCATGCATGTTCCACACACACACTCACACATCTGGGCACCTGGGAGGGCGCACCCGGTGGACTGGACTCCACAGCCCCACCCAGTGGGCTACACCCAATGAGGAGGCACGAGGTGCCATGAAGTGACGCTGCGTGCATGCTTGGGCACCTCTGTCATGCCACACCCTCCTTTCTGCTCCTTTGTAGCTCCCTGTTTACAGTTCTACCTGTGTTCTGACTGTTCTTCCGAGAGTAATAAACTCTAGAGCTCATCACTGGACTGGCTAAAAACTCCTTTCTTCCTCATGTGAGTGGGTTTTCTCTTCAGGATTAAAGTAGATGATTCTTTCTACATCTTAACCGTTTCGGGGAAACTGAGTAGATTTACCTTCAACAAGCTTTTTAAAAATGATTTCTTTTTTAATTTGTGCGTATATGAGTGTTTTGCCTGCATATTTGTATGTTAACTACATGAGTGTCTGGTGCCCCCAGAGGCCATAAGAGGGTGTCAGATCCCCTGGAGCTGGAGTTACAGATGGCTGTGAGCTGCCATGTGGGTGCTGGGAACCAACCCAGGTCCTCTGCAGAGCAGCCGTCTCTCCAGCCCCAAATACACTGGCTTTCTAGAGAGACTTGGCAAAGCCCCCTCACATGCCTGCCACACACAGCTCTGGGACAGGGACATCAAAAGAACAACTTTAAAAGTGCCAGTAGAACTGTCCCCTGCCCAGAAGGCAGGCTCCTCCCCACCTCGGGCCTGTGGTCTCCACAGCTGCCTCTGCCGTCACCTGGGCACCTCCAGCACAGAAGAGGTGAGTAGAGCAGAGATCCTGGGGTGGTTCCTTAAGCCCTGGTCCCCTCTCTGAGGTGGCTGTGGAGCCTGTTTCTGCTCACACTGGCCCACAGCTCAGATGTTGGTGTCATACCTGGAGTACGAGTAGGCCGTGTAGTTTACCCACAGGGTACATGGACACTGGCACCCAGTACGGTACCCGGCCAGGTGACCTTTGCTGGCATGCCTTGGAGTGCTAATAGGGGAAGAGCAGGGCGGTACTAGACTTGTAGGAAGTGAGTCTCTGGTGGCCAAGGATAGGGAAGCAGGGCCCTTGGGCTTTTCCTGGAAAAGATGACAGCAGGAGAAGAACGAGGGGGCTTTGGCTGTGTGACTTTGGTTGTGGCTCCTGCCAGCCAGTCCCCAGTATCATTGGAAGGCCATAGGTGTTGATAACTTCCCATCTCCTGGAGGCAGTGGCCCCAACATGGAGGAGGCTGCTCCACTGTTTAGCTTGCTTTCCCAATACCCCTGTTTGTGTCTCTGCACCAAGTATCACAGGGCCTCTCTATGTGGGAGAGAGCCTTGCTGAATGAGACTGTTGACGTGCTGCAGAAGGCTGCCTTTAAGAGCACCCTCAGGTGCACACTTTAGGGTCCTTTCTGGCTCTCTGAGCAGGGGTGGGCCAACCGACTGCCACTTACAGTTTTCAGGGTTTGAAGGCCCCATATCCACCCAGCTACTCAACTAATTCTGTAAGATAGTTTTTAGGGATATGTTGGCTACCTTGGCCCTATGATCCAGTAAGAAAAGCATTGGAATGTGGCCACTAACACTCTAGACACTTGGATAGGTGTGTGCGTACATGCGCACGTGCACGTGTGTACATGTAAGTGCCTCTATACAATATTTCATGTATGTTTGTGTCTTGATAAAGGAGACTCCAAAATACCCAAGTTCCTTCATGATAGGGAGAAGCAGATGGGTGTCCCCAGCCTGGGAGAGCTTCCTTCTCAGCGCTCTCGGAGGGCTGCTCTGGTTTTTGTTTTACGAGGCATTGCAAAGGGAGCGGGGACCTGGATAGGGCCTCCCAAGCAGGAAGTTCCTGCAGGCAAGTCTGGAAATTGTCCCTCACAGTTATGTGAGGTGTTCTGACAGTCATTCCTGCCCATCCTTCTAGTATTGTCTATTTGCTGGCCTGCCAACATGCTGGGGGCTTGAAGAGGTCCTCTGGATGGGGTGGCAGTGTGGGTCGGCAGCCTGAGTCCTGTCCCGTACATCTCTGAGTCCTGGGAGGGTGTGGAGTTCTGCTGTGAGGACACTTTGTTTTGAGGAAGAAAGAAGCATTGCAGAAGTGAGCTTGTGGTGATAGGGTCTGAGGTGAGAACCACAGAACAGTCTCCTGCTGTGATGACCGTGGCAAGAGCCCCACACCCATCTCAGCAGAGGGCACATAGCCAGCAGTAGTGTGGAGCCCAGGGGTGCTCGGGTTCTCTTCCCAGAGACTGGACCCTTCAGCTGCCCCTCTCTTCACCGTGGCTGAACTGTGGTGCCACTGCCCTACCTGCTCTTCTAAGGTCCCTGCCTTTACCCTGCCTCATCTTTACCCTCTGGCCACTTGGAGGCCAGACTCAGGTCTTGGCTAAGGACAGATCAGTGAACCCCTCCCAGCCCATAGTGGATGGCCCGGTTCCTGGGGATACCTGGCTAGGCTGAGCTCCCTGCCCAACCTCAACTCCAGACCCACGGGAGGCTCCCAATAAATACCAGCTCCAAAGGGCTTCCAAAGGCCTGAGCCACGATCCCTTATGGAAGGGGCCTTCACAGAGCCATCCAGGGGCTTGTCATGTCATAGTGGCTGTCTGGGGGCTGCCAGCTCAGTTCCCCACTCCAGCTCTTCGCCCTCCTACCTACCCGTCTAGAGGTGGCTGAGGCTTGGGACAAAGTCTTTGTGACAGTTCCTCACCCTGGAGGTAAAGATACCGTGACTGCTGCTCTGTGGCCAGATCCTGTCTGTGCCAGGCTTACCTGCCCACCCCAGCCTGGGTGCTTCCCCAGCCCTGCATGGTGTCACACTTCCTGAGCTTGGAGTGAGGGTGCACAGTCTTGCCTGACTCATGCTCCATCCAGACTGTCTGTAGGAGGCATTTCCTCCTTGGCAAGTGCCATCCAGTTCTTTTCCCAGGGCCCCCAGAGCACCCTCAGTCCTCAAGGAAATTGTACGCTGGAAGCCCAGCCCTCACGAGGCACAGACACAGCTCAGAACTCCTCACCCCTGGGGCTGACACTCTCAAGTTTGCCAAGTTACCAAGGAAGCCATCTTCCAGGGGCTACCCCATAGCACATCTGGTACCAGACCTTGTCCAGTGTCTAGTATCAAGTGGATCTAGATTCCTGTTGATGCCCCAAGACCCTGGACCTGTTGTACTCCCTGACACTTGAGGCCTGAGTTACAATGGCCTCACCCTCTGGCCTTGCTCACTTCTGCCACCCATCCTGATCTGCCCCACTCCCACCCCCCTCTAGTACGGGCCCTCCCTAATCCTGCTGACTTCTTGGATGCCCCTACCTTAGGAGGCTCCCGAGAAATACCAGCTCCAAAGGTACCTCGCTAGGTGCCATCCTCTAGACTCCCCCATTCCCTGTCCACCAGTGTACCTTGTACGACTGTCCACCCCAGCTACAGGCGAGCATGTGCCCAAGGCCCAGGAAGTGTTTGTAGAATAAGGAACTTACTCTAGCCCAGGCTGTCACAGCCCTGATCCTGAGCTAGGGTCTTTGTGAAGGCAGGTGGTGAACAGGGGTCATGAGGCAGAAGCAACATTAAGTGATTCTCTCCACGAGGAGCCAGGAGTTGGCAGGCCCCTGTGGGAACCTTTGATGCCTCCTCCAGGTGTTCTGTTATCTGTGGTTCACCTGGACCTGGTTGTTTCTAGGAGCATCTGGGGGCCCTGGCAGGAGACAGCAGAACCAGATGGTGCACACAGTCCTGAGAGTATGGGGCCATAGCTCAGGGCAGCATCCCTGCCCTGTGGAGACAGGCAGGGAAGAGGGACAGACACCTAGGGCTGGACCCTGAGAGAGGGCTGGCTTTGGGGGCAGCTTAGGGGGTGAATCCTCAACCTTCCTTAGCTGTGGGGCATGGAACCTTATGTATGGGCTTTAGGAGTAGGCATGCCCAGCCCAGAGCAGGCAGCAACAGCTGGGGCAGAGAATGTCCACAGGTAAATGAAGAGGCCTGAGGGTGACAGATGCCACCAGTGCTGACTGAGAGGCAAAGGAAAGCTTCAGGCTCCCAGAGAGGAGCCTAGGAGCCTCTGGGGCTCTGGCAAAGACCCTGTTAGTGAGGCTAAGTGGACCAAATAGGACAAGTTAGCCAAGGGGCCAGTGTGCCAGGAAGAGAGACCAGTGGGTAGCCCAAGGGGCAGGAAATAAGGCGTTGATGTGACCTTGGTCTGGGTGCTTGAGTACTCACCGAGAGCCCGAGGGAACTGGCACCAGGGGGTGTGGTTTGGGCTTTGCTGCCCCAGACTGGCCCTGCCCACTGGTTCCTGGAAACCAGTGGGGTCCCGTGCATTGCACCCAGCCTAGGGAGCTCTATGGGGCCTCGGAGGTGGGCTGGCCCTGACATATAGTTGCTGTCTGACTCACTGGCTGGGACTTGGCACATTTTCAGAGCAGGACTGGGCAGGCAGGAAGTGTAAGGGTGCCTCTCCTTTTGAGGTGCACTTCCTTGATCCCAAGAAGATCTGTCTTGTCCCCTTCTGGGTACATAGGGCTGCTGGAGGTTGGCACCTCTTCCTGAGTATCCATGCAGGGCTGGAGGGGACTGCACAGGCCTCCTGTACCTGTGCGGGGTCACTGGTTCTTCCTGGACCTGGTGCCACTCTACATAAATGCCCCAGTGGTGTCCACTGGTTGATGGCTGATTCCTGCGTCTTTACACACAACCATCTTGCTGTCATGCCATTGGGAGCCATGGAGGTCTGATGACAAGCGGGATAGGTAGGGGCCAGACGATCCCAGCAGGCCCTGGCAGAGCGTTTGCTGAGTGACCATAGGGCAGACTGGGAGAGAGTTCCAGTCTTACACTGTGTGCTGGGCACCGTCATTGAGACCAGCTGAGGCCGATGAGCCCCTTCATGTATCCCCTGGACTTGTCAAAGGATGAGCTGGGGAGCCTCAGCAGAGAGAGACATTGTATCTCTGTGTACAAGCCTGAACTTGCCACACAAGGCCTCATGGAAGCCACTTCTGAAAGCTTGGGCCACAGGTAAGGTGAGATACAAAGAGTCAGGGGACCTTGGAGTCCACAGAGAAGCTGGGCCATCACAGACCCCCTGATCCCTATGCCTGTTAGGGGACTTGGGCTGTGGAGGGAGCAAAATCGTCACCTTTAGTGGCAAGCCCTCTGTTATAGTTGGGTAAACAGTCTAGGGGTGGTTGGTAGATTCAGTTCCGTGTTCTGGGTTCTTATGGCTTGGAATAGGACTGTCACCCCAGTCTGTCCACTGTGGGCTTTGGCAGGGATGGCCCCACTCTACCTGTGGACTCCCAGAGGTGGAGGGAAGTGGGGATCCATCTCTGCAGAATATGCTTCACATTCCACTGATCTCAGTCTAGAGGGAAGGTGGGGTACTCAGGGACTCCCTCAGAGCCTTAACCCTGGTGGCACTGCCTCTAGCGAGGAGCTCAGGATAGTGCAATGCAGGGAGCTGAGACCTGTCCCAAATGGAGCCACTCCCAAATCCCTGCAGACTATTACTGGACTCTGGGGATACCCTCACCCAAAGTAGGTGGGTAGGTCTCTTGCAAGGCCCATGCACAGCCCCCAGATAGGTCAAGACAGTCCTGGAATGAGGATTTCTAAACCCATCTTGGGATCTAGAAACTTCCAAGGCAGTTTTGGGCAGCTGGGACAATGGGGTAGACATTCAGACCAAAGAAGGGAATGATCAGGAGAGCACAGAAGGGCCTCAGCAAGGGAGGGACAGTGACAGCAAGGTTGGTGACAGGGAGGAGGCTACAGGTGTTGGTGACATGGAAGTCAAGGGGCACTACAGACCCAGAGGAATTTGTGTGGGTGAAAATGACCCTAACATTAGGAAGAGGGAGGATGGGGGGTAGGGGAGCTGGGCTGGGAGGCCTGTTAGGGGCGGATCCTAGGGTCTCCAAGGCTTGAAGGATGCAGACAGTACCAAGAGAAATGAGGGTGGATATTGGCTCCAGGTGGAGGTGAGCAGTCAGGACAAGGTGACTGGGGACCTAAGCAGGTGGCTCTTTGCTTCTGAGCTTCTGTTGGGGCAAGGAAGAGCCTGTGAGGGGAGTCTCAGTAGGAGCTCAGAGACAGCGCCCCTCCGTGCTCTCTGGGAAGCCTACTGGACCCCAGGGTGCATCTACCTCTTTGGGTTGTCCTAAGCCCTCCTGGCCACTCCGGCCTCACACTGGATGAATCCACCTCCCTGCTTACACCTGGCCTGGAATCAGTTCAGTATCCCCACTAGAAGCCTGTCAGGAAGGAGGCTAGCCGTCATCCTGGAAGATGAGGAGAGCTAGCCAAACAGGGCTGGGGAAGGATGCCCACCAGAGGGAACAGCATGCATCAGTAGTGTTTCAGGAGGGTGGGCAGAGGACGCTGCAAGGGCCAACATCTAGAGAGATGCCCCCTAGTGGGTGAGACCCTCCGAGCAGTCTGACAGATGAAGCCAGGGTACAGGTGTACAGGTGTAGGAAAGTCCTGTGACAGGAGGGACTAGGGTCAAGGACTGCCCAGGGCTCCCCAGTCCCCAGAGCCCTGGATCCCTTATTCATTATGTCAGAACCACCTGTGATTCATGACCCTCCCAGTTGAGACTGTGTGGTACTGCCTGCCATCAGAGCTACTCTCCGTGAGGTGGCCAATTAGGAGAATCATCTGTGGAGTCTCCTGGTAGGCATGGTGACTAGCCTGGAGATGTAGGCAGTTGAGTGCCCTCTGACCTTCCCAGCCCTCCTGCCCAGGTCCATGCCTTATGGCTAGAGATCATCTTGTCTGGAGTGGATTTGGGGTATTTTGGTGTCTGTGCAGGGATGATGGTGTGGGTTTTGGAAGCCCAGGGCTGAGCCAAGCAGGTGACAGCTTCTCTTCTCCCTGTGACAGGGGGCAGGGCCCGAGGCAGCGGAAGCCTCCCAGTCAACAGGATCATCGACGTGGACCTCGTTGCGGGTGTGTCTCCTGGGTGGGGAGGCAGCGTCCTGGGGGTGCGGCTGGGCCCCAGGAGGGTGAAAGCTGATGGACCCTTTCTATCAAATAATCCTGGCCTGAGCCCCATCCCAGGTGAGCCCACCAGGCCCAAGGCCAGCACCCACCATGCCACCTTTGTTTGAAGCTATTCTGATCTTGCGAGTCCTACTGCTCCAGCCTGTACTATCTTCGTGTTCATATGGACATTTGAGGGGAAGGCCATGTCTCTGAGACAGCAGGGGCCTATTTTTCAATAATGGGTCCTCAGGGGCCTGAGAGGAGCACCCTCTGCCACAATCCTCAGGAACCAAAGCGGGAATTGAAGGGACAACCTCGTCACAGGGGCTGGATTTAGACACCTCCACAGCAGCCTGCCTTGGCATTCAGACTTTGCCCAATAAAATGTTTCTGAAGACGTGCCATGTATTGCGATGTGCTAAGTGCTGGTATCACATGCTACCCACCCACCCCCGGGAGCCCTCACTCCTGGACATGGCCTCAGGAGGGAAGAATCCCAGGGAGGAAATGGTGCCTGGCCATGAGGTCAAGGATGGCTACAAGGAGAAGGTTGCAGGGTTGGGGATTTAGCTCAGTGGCAGAGCACTTGCCTAGCAAGCACAAGGTCCTGGGTTCGGTCCTCAGCTCTGGGGAAAAAAAAAAAAAAAAGAGAGAGAGAAGGTTGCTTGGCATCTGGGAGCTGAAGGTCTCAGAATCCCCTCCCACCCTCAGATGTGTGGGCTCCAGGACCTCCCTGGGATAACAAGGCCAGCTGTACCCCCAGTATTGTCCATTCACATTGCCCCTTGCAGATGATCTGGGGTTCTTGGACACCTGTGCTCTTCTGTCTCGTCTGAGGTTGGTTGTTGATGAGGCCAGGGCTTGGTTGAGAGCTAGTTTCCACTGCACACTGGAGTCCTCTTGCCACTGGCCATGCCCCCCCAACCCTAGTCTCATTCAGGTGACCTGGGAGAGTCTCCAGAGAGGGACATCTGAGCTGAAACCTGACCATAGACAAGGCCTAGCAAGAGCCAAGTATGTCAAAGTCTGAGACAGGAGCGACTCTTATAGAATGAGAAGTCCTGTTATGGCAGGGCATCAGTGAAGAGGTGGTGGAGAAGGGCCATAGGGTGCTGTTGGGCTGAGCCCGAAAGGCACACTGCCATGGTCCCAGGATGCCTCAGTAGAGGCTCCAGCACTGATCAGCCCACTGCTGAGAAGCTTATCCCGAAACCTTCCTTGGAATTGGAATTGGGCTGACTGGAAGGTTTCTCAGAGAGCATACATACTAGGTACCCTATCATGCACATCCCAGTAGTACCATGTCCCCAGTACCCACCATGTCCCAGCACTCATCATTTCACCCTAGTACCCACTGTGCCCCAGTACCACTATTTCCCTCTGTGACCAGAACCACTATGTCCTCAGTACCCACCATAGCCCACCATGCTTCTAGCACCTACTTTAACAAGCTTGGGTGCTGCTTGGTGTCTGCTCTGGCACCGGAGAGGCAATCCCAAGACAGCCCTCCCACAGCTAGAGCCATGGTGTGAGATTTCCACTTCAGCTTGCCCAGGGCCCCCAGTGCCTGGCTAGGGCCACAGGGCTCTAGGCTCAGGGATGCTCGGTATAGCCTTCCCAACTTGAGACTACCCACAGGGCTGGGAAAGCTTACCCAGCGTGCCCAGGCTGTGTAGTAAGGATGTATATCTTGGGGTCCTGGGTATCCCAGGTTTAGGACAAGTAGACAAACAGAGCAGCGGAAAGAGTTACTATTCCGGGGCCATTGGTCATAGCACTTGGCCCAGGGAGCAACCCTCTCCTCTTTAGAGCTGCTATGTGGGCCTGGGCAGAGAAGGCGCCCTCTACCCTGAATTGACATCTGCGGATTGGGGACAGTACCATCTCCACCTTAAGTCAGTGGCAGGATGGGAAGAATTGGAGCTCCTAGGGCCTTGCATGCAGGAGGTCCTGTAAAGGGTTCACAAACAGGAGTGGCCGGCAGTGTGACCAGGCAACCGTGCCAGGGAGGCCTGACCCTGACCTGCCCAAGTCACCCTGGAAGACTTCATGGAAGAGGCTGAGACTTGAAGGTGGTGTTGGGGCCAGGAGCAGTGCAAGCCTTCACTAGGGCACGACAGCTGCCCCAGCAGGGCAGGCAGAGCTGGGCAAGGGGTGGAGCCATGGCCTTGTCAGGACGATCCTGATAGGATGCACGTGGGAGGCAGGGTTAATCATTGTCATGTAGCCTTGACCCCACCTGCCCTGGCCACCTTCCCTGGCTACTCTGCTCCTGCTGCCCTTTACGCCAGCTCAGGAGGAGCCATGGGGCAGCGGGCCTGGGTTCCTAGCCCCTGTCCCTTACCCAGGCCATGTCCCTTCCTGCTGCTCCTGATGCTGCTGGTGGTGCCTCGGGGGGCCCAGCCCCAGGCTGGCAGGGTGAGCAATGACCCTCTCCCTAACAATGTGGCCAAGGGCTCCCTAGGCCCACTCAGGGTTCCTGGGAAGAGGCCAGAAATGGCCCCAGACTTGGGGTGAGGAGTGGGCTAGGGGCCTAGTGGGGTGATCTAGTAGGTGAAATTGTCCTTGGCACAGAGAGGTGGAGTGCTGGGCTAGGCTGACCTGGAGGGCTTGGAGGCCTGAACTTTTGGGGACCCCCTTGTTGCCTCCTGCATAGCCCAGGCCCTGTGAGTGTGGGGTCCCTGGAGCTTCTTTTGCATCTCATTGTTTGAGATGGGGTGTAGGAGACCTGAGTCCTTCCAGCTGTTCCTGTCCACCCCAGAACTGATTCTAGGGTTTAATCTCAAGACCAGGGTGACTTGGGGGCCTGTGACTCTAGGCTAGCTTGTCGAACCACTCAAACTTGGAAAGAAAGGCCAGAGGAGGTCTTGGAGACATCCGTTGGCCCTTGGACCTGTTCCAAGAAGGCTCAGACATATCTGACTGGTAGAGTCCAACTGTGAAGGACTGTCCGATGCTGACAATCATTGTGGCCCTTTGGGTTCCTAGAACTACACAGAGTCCCCAGGACCTAATGTCACAGCCACCCCTGTGACTCCCATGATCCCTGTGACCTCTGGGAGTGTCAATACCTCAATAGCAAGTGCTCCAGAGACAGAGACTGAGGGATCCCAAGGTGGGAGGCTCCTCCCTCCCTCCAGCAGCCCCCCTGGGGGCCAAGGTAGGTCAGACACTGCAACTGAGCAGCTGCTAAAGAGGAGTGGGGCATCATGGGGTAGGTACCCAGTGGGAACCCCTGTCCCCTGCCACGTCCAACCCTCCACAGTGCTCACTGAGTCCGGGCAGCCATGCAGGTTTCCTTTCCGCTACGGGGGCCGAATGCTGTACTCCTGCACCTCGGAGGGAAGTGCCTACCGGAAGTGGTGAGTGCCAGGGTGGGGAGGGGCTGAGGACCCCATCCAAGTTCCCACTGTGGACCTTGATGAGCCCTGCAGCTAGTAGGTCTCACTGCCAAGCAGGTAGATCTAGTGAACAGGTGCTCCAGGGTGCCTAGGCAGGGCTGGGTGGGGCTCTGGGCAGGGGCTCCATGTCATCCTCAGTCTGACCCTTCAGGTGTGCTACTACACACAACTATGACCGGGACCGAGCCTGGGGCTACTGTGCAGAGGCCACCCTGCCTGTGGAAGGCCCAGGTTGGTGTGTGGAGGGGCCAGCCTGAGCCCCCAGGAAGAGCTTTGACAGGGTGCTTGGGTTGAGGGTAGAAGGTTCAAACAGCAGGGTGAAGACAGTGGTGACCTGAGGCAGGGCATTCTGCACAGAGTGGGGTGTGGTCTGTGAGTATGAGCCTTCTGAGCCCGGAGGTATCTAGAGCCAGCAGCCCCAGAGGGCAGCATAGGGTGCCTCACCCAGACAGGACATGGCCTTTCTATACCCTGGATGGCTTTGGTGGCCATTGATGGTACTGGGGCGCCCTCTTGTGTTGAGGTTTATCCCTGTAGCCATACATGGTCCCTTGGACAGGCCCTGGGATAGCGCCAGGAGTCCAAAAGAACAAGCCATGAAATCTGTGGGTGTGCTGTCCCAGGGTACATGGAGGGGACCCTGTTGCCGGGCAGAACGTGTATAGATGTGTAGGGTGTGGAATGCAGAGCCGTGAGGCACCTTCTGAGATGCTGGGTCGGGGGCACTGGGAGGTGGGAACTTGCTCACCCAGCAACCGGGAGAGGGCAATATGAGAGTTCACCAGAGGCCCTTGGCAGGCAAGGGGTGTGGAGGGACCCCAAAGACCGCTGCCACCACCCATAATGTTCCCTCCTGCGTGTACCCAGCTATCCTTGATCCTTGTGCCTCTGGGCCCTGCCTCAATGGGGGCACATGTTCCAGTACCCATGACCATGTGTCCTACCACTGCGCTTGCCCTCCGGCCTTCACGGGCAAGGACTGTGGCACAGGTGAGGCGACTCGGGGGCCCAGGAGTGGAGCCATTCTGGGGGGCTGGGAGAGCAGCTGCGGGGTCCAGGCTGGGGTGGGTGGTGCCTGCCTGGGGGAGGGGCCCTGCATGGGTGCTGTGGGAACACTGTGTGATTTGTAGTGAGATGCTTTGATGAGACGCGCTACGAGTATTTTGAAGCGGGCGACCACTGGGCCCATGTGAGCAAGGCACAGGTGGAGCAGTGCAGCTGTATCGAGGGCCAGACCCGGTGTGAAGGCACCCGCCACACAGGTGTGTCATGGCCAGCTTCAGGGAGGCCTCGGGTACCGTGATATGTGGGGGTAGTGAGCTATATCTCTCTAGCAGGTGCGTCTTCCTCACTCAAGCATAAGGCTACCCAGTAAGGGCACAGGCAAAGACCTGAGCTCTGTCCCCCTATGAGTTCCTGGAGACCAGGTTCAGTTTCTGAGCTCTCCCCTAGCTTGCCTGAGCAGTCCATGTCTGAACGGAGGCACCTGCCACCTGATTGTGGGCACAGGGACCAGCGTCTGCGCCTGCCCACTGGGCTATGCTGGGCGGTTCTGCAACATCGGTGAGCCACTTTCTTTCTGGTCTTGTGGGGTAATGGTGTCAGGGGGCCTCACTGTGGCTTGGCCTCACTGTGCACACTGTGCCCGCAGTTCCTGCCGAACTCTGCATCCTGGGAAATGGTACAGAGTACCGTGGCGTGGCCAGCACCACTGCCTCAGGCCTGAGCTGCCTGGCCTGGAACTCTGACCTGCTCTACCAGGAGCTGGATGTGGATTCAGTGGGTGCTGCTGTCCTGCTCGGCCTGGGCCCTCATGCTTACTGTCGGTCAGCATCTCATGGCCACTGTGACTCATTCTGTGTGGGCAAAGGGTTGGACAGAGTGGTTCCCCAGACTCAGCAGGGGTCAACACTGCCAAGATGGCCAGTAACCTCTGCCTCTTGGGAGGGTGGGGCCAAGTGTGCCCAGCAGGGTCTGCAGAGCAAGCTCTGATATTGGTGGGGGTCC